CCATCATTCAGCAGAGTAGGGACGATAACCATAGACTATTCTAGACAGTCAGTGGAACACTAGCAGGCTCGCAACTTGTAGGTTTTTGTGAACGATGTGTTCACCGGTGTACTAATAACCCATTGACATGTATTGCGAGAGGGATCTCAAGAATGATACTGTCAATAAACAAGATAAACTTGTTATTAGATCCGGGAGTATGGCTCAGATCAGAACATGACATCCCGAGATTTTGTTGTATAATGAAAATACATTTCTTGAAGAAATGCTTTGATAAATTCTTATCGTATTTTGTTTTGGGAATAAATTCCGCAACGATTTTCTTTGAAAGATTCCTCTGATTTTTAAAAACAAAGCATAAACAAATCGATCTTTTATGGCCGTGAAATTGGGGATGTCAAATTTGGCAGTTTTGCCTCTCTTTCCAGTGCCGCCGCACATCCTTGTTGAATCAAAAGAGCCCTCATCTTCACCTTCCACAAATTCAACACTCCATAACCCCTGATAATTCCATTTGTGTTTTTTCTGAAGGTGATGTGTCGGCCACCACTGATTGGCTTGAAATCACGAAGGTATCCGAACCTTACCACCATGTGCAAGGAGCATGCATTATCGATTAACCATTCCCCTTCATGTTCCTCCTTTCACACTACCTACACAACCAGTTTGTTAGTTTGGGCACCTAAACAAGTTTGGAGCCCTGGGTAACGTGGGACACTTTCTTAACAAATGCATGCATGTGGGACTTATTAACAGGTTTCTTTGTGGTTTAAGTCCAAGTCCAGTATGTTTTATACCTTCTAAAATGTTAAGTGTTGGTATTATACGTGACTTTCCTAATGGTTAGTAACCAAAGGCAAGGTTTTTCTCATTTATCCAGAGACAATATTTTGTTAAAGGTCTGGATGGTGTGGCTTGTTTCTTGTGACTAGTCCTCGTCGTGTGTTATATTGGAGTGTCCTTGGGACTTGAAAAAGGCTTGTCATGTGACCTAGTCTTAGGTTTTGACTTTGTGACAGACTGGTGTGATTTTGAAAGAATTAGAGTTGGCAAAATACCCTTCCATTTTGAATTTGTTAAGGAATTTTGTGGAAGTGGCTTGACTTCTTTTTGAAAGTGTGCAAAAGTGTTTGAATCAAAAGATTTTGTCATTGTACATTCTTTTTTGCACGATCCATTGACTTCAGTGTATTTTTGAAAAGTTTTTGCAGGGATGGCTTTATCAAAATTCATTTTATTTGAAAATTTAGCTTGTTTTTTGAAATTTTTGTTCTTGAAACCAGTTTCCCGCTTTTCACATCGGGATCCGATCGCCTTTTCTAAATCCAATTTTGCTTGAACTTTTGGTGAGACCTCATCAAAGACATTCAACTGGGGGGTTTTTGAAATCTTTTGTTCGAGGTAAAGGTTGAGGACTTGTATCATCAGAACTAGAAAGTTCATGACTTTAAGAATATTGGCCAAATTCAAAATTGTTAATTGGTAATTTATGCAAGATGGGCTGAAGAGTCATTGTGGATTTGACTTGAGTCTGCGGTAAAGAGGGCTGGAGTACCGCAGAGTAAGTAAGTTATGGATTTTGGTCGGGACATGTCTTAGAAGATAAGGATGAATAGTCTACAACTAAATCAGGTCCTTCCAAGACAATTTATTCATCAACAACTGAACTTGATTGAGAACCATGACAAATTGTGCCAATAATGGGTATGAATTCATCTGGGTTACCTGAGGATTCAGGAAGAATTTCCTCAATGACACAATTGTTGTTAAGTTCAAAAAGTCTACCGAAGTAACATTAGATGTCTTTGGGATATGTATTATCATTGACTGGATATTGAAAATGTCTATCCAGAGGGACATAGGGACGTTCGACATTAAATCGTGGAGAAGAGGTCTTATCGGTTGAGTACCCATTGGACCATCCCCAATTATAAGTGTTGTCTACGGTCCCATTTTTAACGAGATTCTCAATAGCTTCAATTTCATTAACCAGTTTTTCAATTAAAAGATTTAAATGTGCAATCTCCTTTTGGGCCACATCCCATTGATTAAAAGCAATATCTAATTGAGTTTCACTTAACATCATAGCATCTTTTTCTAACAACAAATTATTCTCTAACAAGTCTTCCTCTCACATGGTACAGCTATTGGGACGCTATGTTCTTTTCGTCTAGAGCTTTATTGTAGTCTGAAAGGACGACAACACACGTGTCACTAAGTCTTTCTATTTAAGGCTCACTATCATGCATGTTGTAATTATTGGACTGAATCATAATTTTTGTCTGTTCTATGATGCTGAGAGTTCCATCCTTGGCTATGTAGCAGTAATTCCTCTACATATTTGTAGAGCTATCTTCTTCACTAGCTGCCACCATACAAAATTTCCCTTTGCTTCGGTTGTTGTTGACTTCTTCGTCTGCATCTCCCGAGGACCATACCTGATGATCCCTTTTCACTTGAGTAGCATAAGCTCTTGCCTTCTCTTTCTCCTGATCTTCCATTTCTTAAGCCATTATGAGGTAAAGTGCATTGTCTATTACCACATTTGATTTGCAGTCTCTGGGAAAGTGGTTTTCTTTGTGACACTTATGACAAATAAGAACTTTGTCTTTGTCTTCGGTAGGGGTACTAGAGTCTAAATATTTGTTGATCTGCGTGGTTTTTTTTTGTCTGAGGAACACTCTGTGGATGATGAGGGTTTTTTGGGATATCTTGAATGGTTACTCTGTGGGTTGAAGTTGCGGTTGAAGGGTGGTTTGGTGAGCTGTTGGTTCTTTCGAAATGAAGGAGGTGGGAGTCTGTTAAACCATTTGCTGACAAGGGTAATGGCATTTTGAAACTCTTCTTTGTCATCAAGTTTTGCATCAGCTTCATAAGATTGTAGAGAGTTATCATATGAAGGTTGGTATGACCACTCTGCGGTATATGGGTACTGAGGAGTTTTGAACTGTAGGGTTTTAGCCATCAAAGCGAGTGGTCTACCCAGGTCTGCATAATCCTTTAACACCGTTGATTCTTGTGCTTAAAGTTCACCGTAGATATTGAAGAGTGAGAGAGTTATTACTCAAACCATCTTAGTAGTAGTCCAATGTCTATCCAAACCATTAAGGAATTGTTGGTTGTTTCGTGATTACTCTGGACTATACCAGCATTAGACAGCTTTGTGATAATGAGGTTGAACCTTTTGAATGAATCCTCAAGACTTTCACTGGGAATAGCTTTAAAGTTGGTTAACTCATTGAGAGCAGTGGTGAGCATTTTATCCTAAGCTTCTTTTGAACCCTGGTAAATATTCTTAAGCATGTCCCAGATGTCATTTGCAGACTTGCAGTTGATGATGATGTCGAAGTTATCTAGAGCAACACCACATGAGATTTCATAAAAGGCTATGGAATCTGTCTCCATTTTGTCAAGATCATCATTTGTTAGTCGATTCACGGCTACCTAAGCTCCACCTAGTCGTTCCTGAGCATCATCTGCTTGAACGGGAGCTAGAAAAGGGACATGGGGTCCTTATTTTACAAACCTCCAAACATCTCTACCGAGCCTCTTAAGATACCTTTTAGTTCTCTAAGACCAATTTGTATTCATTTGCAACAAGTATTGGAGCTTTGTTCAAACCTCCAACACTATTAGAAAGGTTTAATGAAAAGTCTTGTGCCATATTTCCTTGTTTTTTTTTTAATAAGAATGAGCTTCAGTGATATAGAAGGCATTCTAAAATCAGAGTATTGTTTAAAAAGAAACCACTTTGGCTCTAATACCAATTGTTGAGAGAAAAACTTTAACAAACGTTAGTCACAAGATAATATAATGCGGAATAATAAGTTAATATCGAAGGATCTTGTTAGCTCAATAATAATAAGTTAGAAGAGTTAGATTGCAGAAATATAAAGGAAATAAATAGCAACAAGTTATATCAAGTAGACACCAAGTTGATTCATAACGAGGATTGCATTCAAACACAAGTTAGTAAGTGCGATCAACTTAAAGTAAAGAGGGACTTGGTTTATCAGAAATTAAGAGAGATAGAGAAGAATGATCTTTTTGTATTTCAATAAGAGTTTTGGAAGTGGTGGTGGTAATACATGAAGAGGGATGCCCTATTTATAAAGTCCTAAAAGTTACATTGAAGAGTAAAATGGTATTAAACCTACTGACTAAGGTGACCATGAAAGGTTCACCGGATAATACAAAGTGAAATAGCAATGTCAGTTAAAGTAACACAAAAGGTCTTCATGTATCGTCCATCTTTACAGTTGTTCTTCAAGTCTTCGTTTGACATACGACAAAAACAATCTTTGTTCACATCTTCTCTGCGGTATCATCAGGACTTAAGGTCTGCGGTTCCTTAGCTAAAGAGGGTCACTTTTATTTCAACATCTTTAGTGACAACATTTTGAGCAATAACGGCAGGGCAATACCGACAACCTTTTTAGCAACAACATGTCACTGCTATTGTCTTTACCAGCGACAAATCTACCTTTTAGCGGCGATTTACCGGCAACAACTCTACCTGATAGTGCCTAACAATATGTTTTACATCAATATACATACATCAAAAAGAAAATAAAGTATAAAACCAAAACAAAATATAGTTTTAAATGAATAAAATGCATTAAAAACATAATAACATTTACCATATGTTTTTATTTAGAAAAATCTAAATATATATAAAAATACCACTAATGTTTATTATGCAAAATGGTTATTTTCCACATGTTCTGATTCGATTTAACTGAGTTAACCAGTTCAACTAGGTTTTTATAAAAACCGACGGGTTCTATCCGATTTTAGAAATCATAAACCAATGATAGTCAAACCGCTTCATTCATCGGTTTCCAGTCGGCTCGAAACTACTTTTAAAACGTTGTTTAATTTATCCTAGCGGTCGCAGGTTCGATTCCATGAAAAAGCAACCTCCTTATTTTTGGTGTATTGATGTGGCTAACACGCAACATGGTGGCTGGGAAGGAAAACCCAAATGATCTATTTGCGTATTAGGCTGGTGAGTGTGGAAAGAAGAATGACTCAGCAAGAGTGAGGTGGATGGTGACCTGGAGCTCCGCAACTCGGAGAACACCGCCAGTCACCTCCGCATGTCGGGTGCCGGGGTTTTCGGTGGAATTCGGCGACTCTTCACTGAGTCTCTCTCTTTGGCAACTCAAGAAGATGACATGGAAAGGGGTGGTGGCCTTGAGAGCCTCGGCACCACTCCGAGAACCATAACTTTTTAACAAGTTTTCCGTACAAACATTAAAGCAATTATTATTTTTTTATGTAAAATCATTAAAGTCCAAACTAGCTGTATTTGTCAAATTTAGAAAACTTTTGACAAATTTTAGGTACTAAAATATTTAACGTTCATCTCACAAAACCTTTAAAATTACTAATACATAATTAAGTGTAATATATATATATATATATATATATATATATATATATATATATATATATATATGACAAGTTTAAGGTACAAACACTAAAACAATTTTTTTATGTAAAATCATTAAAGTCCAAACACTATTTGTCATATTTAGAAAACTTTTGACAAACTTTGGGTACCAGAAATATTTAAGTTAAAATTATTAATATATATATGAGATCGATTGACAACTCATAGTTTCCCGAGAATTAAATGTGGAGCGTTAGATTAAAATTAAGTCATTAAGGACATGATCATCATCTTATCGATTTCATTTAATGTTTAATTTTTTTTTGTTATTGAAGTATTAATAGAATGTTCTAAAAATTAACATAATAAATCAAATTTCATATTATTTTTTATAAATAATTTTTGATTTTTTTTAAATGAAGATTTTATTTTTCCAGAAAACATGAGTTTTTAAAATAAATTGATTTGTTTCTAAACTGCAATGTTTTTTTAAAAACAGTGCATTAAAAGAAACTGCATTTCAAAGAAAACTGCATTTTTTTCAAAAAAAAATACTGTAATTTTTTTTAAAAAATACTGTAATTTTTTTAAAAAAATACTGTAATTTTTTTTAAAAAATGTATTTTTAGATAAAAAAAACTGCGTTTTTTTCAAAAAATTGCAAACTTTTCAAAAAAAATGCAATTTTTTAAAAGAAAATTGTAATATTTTTCAAACAAAAACTGCAATGTTTTTTTAAAAAACTGCATTTTAAATAAAACTACAATTTTTTCAAAAAAAAATGCATTTATTTTTAATAGTAAATTTTTAAAAATCAATAAAATTCTATAATATTCATAAGTAAATCATAAAAAATCGCATTTTTATTAATTAATCTATAAACATGATAGCACAAGTATTTTATTCGATGCAAAATAAAATATAAAAAATAAAAATACTACAACTCAAAGCGTTCTAATGTCTTCGTATCAATATTTCTTTATTTTCTTCAATTTATCATTTTTCATCTCTTCAATATTCACCACAATTTATGTCAAATCTACAAAAAAAAAATGATTAATACAAAAACACTCACAAAAATACATATGTGATTTTCATGTGATTAACATATGAATCAGATGCGATTCACATATCACATCATATGTAAATCACATGTGATTTATATGTTAATCACATGTGAATCAAATGTGCTTTACATGTGAATCAAATGTGATTTTCATGTGATTAACATATGAATGTGTGCATATATATATATATATATATATATATATATATATATATATATATATATATATATATGTAATTCACTTGAGATTTACATTTGAATCATATATTATTCATATATGATTTACATGTGAATCACATATGATTTATATGTGAATCACATGTAATTCACATGTAAATATATAAATCACATCCAAATTAATACAATGGATATTATATACAGCAAAAAAGATAATACTTGAGACTACACACCTGAAATCCAAATTAATGTGAGGGATCCAAAGATAATTCATAAAGCAGCTATAGGAGAACATAAAATGTGTTCATCAAAATCATTAAAAAAACTAAGAAATCTGAAATTAATTGAGACTATACACCTGGAATCCAAATTAATAAAGCATTGTATTGACATCAAGCTTTTTTAGCATTTCCAGAATATCAAGAATAACCTTTAGACGACTGATATGAATAAGGCTTCAAATAATTATCCACGAGATAATCCATTATAATGAGCTGCTTTGTGTAAATATGGTGATATAAAAGAAATAAAGATTCAATGAATGATGTACAATTATCTGTAGAATGATAAAACAAAGTGAAGGCACAGAAGAGAAAGATAAAGCTAAACTTTGCCTAATTTATGACAAAGAAGTTGGCAGTGAATCATCATGCCTTTATACTTATGTTACTTTATGAAAAGAAGTTGGCAAAGTAGTTTTTTAAAAGTATAACGTCCTAATAAGAAACAAAATGGAATTGCATTTAGCCTAAAAATAAATGAGATCAAACTTGTAAATAGTTAATACATCCAAATTTCTTTCATGTTGGTGCAAATGTTGGAACTTTAGTCAGGTACCCAACATATTATTGAATAAATCTAAATTTTGATACCTTAATTTTTAATTTGAAATTCTATCAAATTATGATTGTACTTTCATAATTGATTTTATCTTTAAGTATAAAGGAACTTGTTGCCAATACCCACCTCATCATCATACCTCAAAGCTTGAATGAGCTAGAGCATGAAAAAGGTTACTTTGGAAGGAGGGTAAGATTCCAATACCCTGAGAATATAAGCCATGTGACCAGTGTTTATTTAGCATGTCTAAGAAAGAAGGGCATTTGTAGGTTTGTCATGAAAATATGCTTCCCTAAAGGAGATGTTGATGCTGTTTCTATAAGCAAAATAGACCTTGATTTACTACAACCAGACACATTTGTCAATGACACCATCATTGATTTTAGATCAAATATGTTCATCTTCTCCTTTTGTCTCATAATGCTCTTAAGTAGAAAATAGGACTTCTTACAAAGAGCCTAAATTTATACTGCAGTTAAATCTCCCATGGCAACAATAAATAGAGAAGGGGAATATGATAAGGAATCATAATATCTGAACAACAATTCTAAATTTTTGTCCATGTGGGATAAGTTATTACTTATTACAAGATTTCTTTAGTGATTTTAGTGAAGCCATTAATTTTAGAGTGTTCTTACGTTTTCCACTTAACAATGATTATAATATTAAATGATGACAGGTATTTGAAGAATAAATTCAAACCTGAGGGGAGTCACAAATTCCACTTCTTCAACATTTTTTTCTTCTGGAAGCTTGCTGATCCAAATAATGATCCACTTGATGCTTCTAAAGGAATAGCTGGTTTTCAACGTACATAAAAAATCGGATAAACTCAACAACCAGTTTACACTCTAGCAATTTTGAAGAGATATGAGAAAAGGACATGAAGCAAATTTGGTTACTTTTAGTGTAAATAGGAAGGATGATCATGTTATTCTTTAATGTTATTCTTTTCAGATTGATTACATTTAGCATATTGATAACGATTAGGTGATTAGTAGTGGATTTCTTCATCATCGCACTGTTTCCGCCATTGATTCTCTATCTCAAAGCTTTTATAATCATTTCAATTTGGAACTCTTCACTAATGACAATTTTACTTGTAAATCTTCATAGTACATACAATTTTCCTTGCAATTTTCATCCAAAATTGATAGCAAAAACAAATTTATTTTGAAAAGCTATCAAGAGCATAATCATCTATGGTTTTCAGTCAACGATTGTCATAGGATTAATTTTATGCTATGAACTTAATCGAAACGAACACATAAACAACGAAACATGATTAAAACTTTGATCAAACTTACCTGGAATCGAATCGGAAGCTAACCTCATCGATGTCGATTTCTACGTGGTTGCTATAGTTTTACACTTCCTTCCGCTTTGTTTCTCGACTGATTTTGGTTCGATAATGGAACGGTATGATTATTTGATTTGTACCTGATTATAAAAGCTTTTAATATGTAATTAATTAAAAGTTAATGGTTAAAATTAATTGGGGAAATTGGAGGATGGATAGTGAGCTAGAAGAATACTTCCAATTTATGATGAATCGATACCTAAATTGATGCTTACAAAAACTTGAGAGATCATTGTTGATCGATCTCGATGAATCGATGATCATGAATCAAGCGATTTAGGGATTCAAATATCGCAATCGAAGGTGAACACGAACAATGTCGATCTATAGGTTCGTAAATTCTTCACCGATGATCTGGATATGAAAGATTGTTGATTGGTAGCCGACGTTCATTGTTGATGGATATAGAGGTGGACCGATTCAGGGATGATGGAGACGAGGGGAAGAGATACGGTGGAGAGAGAGAGAGAGAGAGAGAGAGAGGAGAGAGAGAGAGATCTAATAAGTAATGGTAATAAGAGACGTATGTGTACGAGTCAATTTCTGTAATCCCAAAATGCCCCTGATTCCATTTAATTCTA